CGTCGAAAATCATATCGCTTCTCACCACATTCTTTCTGAGAAACGAGGGGACTATCTGTATACAGTCAAAATAGATTTCGGCCTCCGTACGTTTGATCGAGTTCGAATGGTAAGAGATCAAAGTGATAGCTCGAGACGAGTTCCGAGGATAGTACAAACAAGCATCGAGCTCCAAGACCGATCGAGGAATCGACTCGGTATCATTATCAAGCCCATGACCAAATCGAACCGCAAGGCAACGTGAAGGTTGTCGGAGATGCACTGACCGATTGACACTCACCCCGAATGTCGAACTCGAACTCAAGGCCGAGGGCTCGACCCAATACCGAGCTCGAGCCAGTATCGAGCTTGCAGACAGGAGTCGTTGCAACCGCACTAGGGGAGAGAATCTTGACAGAAATCGAGAAAGAGACAATTCATCATGGGTTCTCCACTATATATTTATTATTATAAATAAAGTAAGATCAGCATACTCACTCTTCTTGTTCAATAATTTATATCCCGTTTCTATAGCCAAGAATCTAAACATTTTCACTTCTACATACGATTTATGTCAAGCTATATCACATATCCTTTTAACTACTTATAAATTCAACTATATCCGATTTTCCGAGTAAACAATATATATTCTCAAATGTCATGTTTCCGGTATCTACCTAAATACTCTCTTTCTTATTTAGTTTTCAAGCTTTCTGACTTTCTTTTTCGTCCTATTGTTTAAATCAGGCTAACGTGGCCCGAAAGTGGATATTTGAAATCCTTATATTTTTTCTGGCTTTTGCTGCAGCTGAGCGTCAATTCCTGCAACCAGAGTATGATGATTATGCCGTTGCTTGCAGTGGGAATGTAGATTGTCTCTGCTATGTTGCAATCGTTAACAAGTAGCTGTGTAATGCTTCTATGTTTTAGTCTCTCTGTTTGTGAGCACTCTAGGAATGAAGGCAGTTGTCTTCTATTCATGCAGTTGATGAACCTTCTCTTTCTAAAGATATCTGTATTTATCTTCCAAGGGGCAAATGGCAATGTTAATTTGGTGCTGAAAATCCCTTCTCTCTTTGACCTATATATTATCTCTTCCCTAGCTTCTCCTACTATCCGTGAACTCAGAAGCAAATGTAAACGTGAGGATTTGAGTTCACAGTTTGTTTTCATCACCTTGTCCTATAATCTCAGATATTGGATTGTCATTAAAACAATTGGTAATCCATATGAAATTTCTAAACTACGCACACTTCGAGAGGAGGTTGTATACATGAATATGATAACATTGGACCTAAGAAAATAATAAACAACAAAAGAGAAAAGTAGACAACAAACAAATTTAGGAAGCAAGTAATAAAAATACGGAAATTCATGCGCTGAAATTTATCCGAAAATCCACAACAGCGCAGAAACTATTAGAGGCAAGTACGATGAGTTTTTGACCAAAAGTGTCCCTTATCTTTGAGGGTAGGTCTATTTTGATCCCTCAAATATAACCCTGAGCATATTTAGTCCCTTAAGTATGCTAAAATGGAATACCTTTAGTCTCACTGACATAATGTGTTCAAAAATTAATGGTGTTACCAAACTCTGATTCATGAAGCAAATCTTCTCTGAAGCAAAATGTTTTCTCTCCTTTTATTGGATAACGCAAATTATCACTTTAATTCCTCATTTTTAGATAATGTCTTCTAAAATTTTGACCTTGAAAATATCCCCTTATGAGCCAATTTTCAATGAGAAAATGACACTGTATAGCCGCTGTAAAAATAATAGCCAAAAAAATATATAAAATTTGTGTATATATATATATATA